TTTTTTTTTTTTTTTTGCTGTTTAGCAAAATGCTAGCCATCTAGCCAGCTAAAGATTAACGTAGATTAGCTAGTGTTTTTGCTAACAATAGTTAACTTGGAATGAGAACTTGTATGCTGCTTTCATCTTTTAGCCAACTTCAAAATGTGGTTGTCTTTTCAGGAGCGATTAGCCTAGCACATAGCATATCTAAGTACAGGAAAGTTAACCCAGGTTCCAGCCAAGGCTTGCTCAACTGTCATTGACTTGGACTTGGGAGGCTCAATTATTGGAAGAGAAGTTTTCTAATCTTCTTCATGTGCTTTCCTTCCTGTCCTCAGAATGTCTGGAGGAGTTGGGTTGTCTGATAGAAGGCTATGGGATGAATGTATGCCAACCGACTCCAGCCAAGTCTCTGAAGGAGATTGCTGTTCACATAGGTGACAGGGACACATCAGTCCGCAATGCTGCCCTGAACACTGTGGTGGCCGTCTACAACGTCTGTGGGGACCAAGTCTACAAACTAATAGGAAATGTAAGACCTGGATGATTTTCACATGCAGTGTCACAGGACTCAACCCAAAAACCTACTCTGAACAATTTGACATCATTCTCTGTCCTTTCTAGTTGTCAGAGAAAGACATGAGCATGCTAGAGGAGAGAATCAAGCGTTCAGCCAAGAAGACTCCTGCAGCTCCTGCCAAGCAGAGTGCTACGGAGAGGCCTCAGAGAGAGCAGCCAGCTAACCCCAACGCCACCTTCCTCCGCAAGCCTGCACAGGAAGACCCCAACAAACTCAAGTAGGTCCCCTCTGGCTGCAGGTTAACCATAGCTCACAGCAAAATATATAATGTTGTGGAACATGAATGGGTTGCTCATGCACTGAATTTATTTCATGTTGTTATTATTATAAATAGATATAATAGATCAACATAATTAATTCAATATAGTATATATTGCATAAACATGATGCATACAAACTAAAATTAAAATGTATGTTGGGTTTATTTAGCAACATTTAAAGTGACATAATGCTTAAAAGCATTTGTCCTGACAATAAGAGATTTCCTACAGTGCCTATATAAATAATAAAATAAGATGTTCCTTTATTGATCCCCCGTGGAAGAAATTCAAATCTTACACTTCTGTGCTTTTTGCACTACATTCCCCTATGCTGCTGTGTAGTAGTAGTAGAATAAGTAGAAGAATCGCACAATAAAAATATCAAGATATAATAGAAAATATAAGACTATAATGGAAAATATATGCACTAACAAGAACGGGACGCAGCAATATCATAATCATCATAATTTTGTCTGCTCCGATTGTGCAAATACTTGGAATTTGATACACACATGCGGACATGTGTAGCATCCATATTTACTTCCGTAAACACAGCGTGCTGCGTGTGACGTCACGGGTTCTTCTGCGCATGCTAGAGGTGTTGAAATTAATCAAATAATCGATGCATCGCGATGCAGACATGGACGATGCTGCATCGATGCAGTGGCCGACCATAATCGATTATAAACGCAATGATGTCACTCGTTAATTTTCCGTCCGTGGCATAAAACCGTCAAATTGAAAAATAACATTCTCAGTAGCCATAACCCGTTTCATCTTAGACCCATACTTCTTCAAATAGCTGGGGCGCGTCCCCCTGGGGGGGCGCGTGAGATGTAAGGGGGGCGCGACAGGCAGGGGACTGGACGTGGGGGAGGAGAGATGGGAAAGTTTCTGACAGGAGTAAAAAGAAAAACTTGGAGGAGACGTCATTGAGGCCAGAACAGCAAGTGACGGTAACCGGCAGTTATGTCATAAGCACTTGGGACTTTTTTCATCGAAAACTCGATGAGTATCGCCAACAGGCCGGTCATTTAGTGAGCGCGGCATCAGGAAATCAAAAAGCACTGTTAGCCTCGTACAAAGTTGCCCACCACATCGCAAGGTGCAAAAAACCTCACACGATAGCAGAGGAACTTATCCCCCAGGCAGCATTGGACATGGTCACAATCATGCTAGGTGAGAAAAGTGCTGAGACACTGAATACTGTCCCTCTTTCCAATGACACGATCGGGAGACGTATATTTGACATTTCCTTCCAAGAACAACTCACAGAACATCTAACAGACAAATGTTAAAGATTGTTGCAAATTTTGCACAAAAAAAACAAGAAATGTATAAAAGTCATATACCTTTTTGAAAAGGAATAAGCTGATGAAGCTGACAAGTGATCAATGTTTACAGTTTTAAAAAGTTTTCAATGTTACTGTGTTAGTCTATAAAAATACACATCCCAGTGAATCATTTGCAGTTTTTTCTCTGTTTTGAGAATCACAGACTGAGCAGTCTTGTTTAAATGTTACAAATTGAGTTAATAACTGAACTTGGAAATTGTTTTAAGTTGTTGCAGATGTTATCTCAGCTCATATTTATATCATCTATTTTGATAAATCAGGTGATTGTATGCATGAATGCTTGGTGCCAGCAAATCAGTACACGTGGGTTTGGTACAGATAACATATAATATAAAATTATTATATCAGGTTCTCAAAAAATAGTATTTCCAATTCAGGGGGGGCGTGAAAAAATGTCTGTCCCCTAGGGGGGGCATAAAAGAAAATAATTGAGAACCACTGGCTTAGCTGCACAGCTGACCGAGCTAACGGCAGTTAGCGGTTGGCTACTTATTATTCTTTGTAAAGGATGTAGTGCGGAGGTTAGGAAGCTTCCTACGTAGGATGTGATATTGTTGTTTCCTAAGAAGAAAGCAAGTACAAACAGAGCTTCCTAGTTTGGCTGTGAAGGAGAGAGGAAGCGAAGAGTTTGGTAGTGAGAAGATAAATCAGCATCCTAGTTAGGAAGTGAGGAGGTAGAGAGGCCTCCTAGTTAAATATCAAGTTCAGTTGTATGAAAGAGATGCTTCCTAGCTGTAGGAAAAATGAACAGGCGTCCTTGCTTCCTAGTAAGTAAGTAAGCAAAGGCTCCTAATGTTAGGAGGTAAGGAAGCTTCCTTTCTAGAAAGTGAGCAGAAGAGACTCGTGTTAGTAAGGAAGCAGAAAGGAAACGGTGCTTTCTGGAGGAGGGAGAGCCGTTTCCTAGGTAGGTAATGAGGAGATAAAGAAGCTTGAAGTAAGTAGAGAGGATAGCTCCTCACTAACTAGGGAAGATAAGCAACATCCTTACTAGGAAGTGTCCTAGGGAAGAAGCAAGGAGACGAGGAGTCATAATGATCTGCTGCAGACAGAAAGTGCAGGGATACTCGTCACAGTGAGAGCTCCTATTAACACATTATTAACACATGCTCGCTCACCCTGTCTCTCTCTCTGCCACTTCCTGTCTGTCAGTGTGTGTGTGTGTGTGTGTGTGTGTGTGTGTGGTACCTCTACAGATGGGTCGGTGTGTGTTCAGCTGCCATATTATCCTCAGTTATATCCTTTCTCTCTTCTTTCTGTTGGTATGTCTCTCGCCCTTCGTTTCCCTCTCGCTCGCCCCCTCGCTCTCTCTCTCTGATAAGAGCGGTCAGAGTACAAACTGTGATGTAAGTGTGTTCAGGGAGTGGACTTCATTTCTCTTTATGTTTAAAGGAATGTGTCTGTGTGTGTGTGTGTGAGAGTGTGTGAGAGTGTGTGTGTGTGTGAGTGAGTGTGTGAGAGTGTGTGTGTGTGTGTGTGAGAGTGTGTGTAAGCTGTATGTTTCCATTTCCATTGCTTTTGTAACATTAGCTCCCTCGTTCCCTTCCTAATGGCTAAGGAAGTCAATGC